TTAGAGTGAGAGGACGACCAGAAGAAGTTAAAGCAACATCACCAATATGACGAATGGGAAGATGGGCACCATTAGCAACACTAACAGAATTATAGCCAGTGTAAGGAGATTTATTTAATAAAATACCTTCAGAAGCAGTCATATGAGCAGAAGCGCCCGAATCAGGATACCATAGAGCAGAATTAGCTTCACCAGGAGTAGTCAACAGAGCATGAGCAGAAGGTTGTGTAAAACGAGAAGGACAAGTGATAGCGGAATGACCTGTAGAAAAACAAATCTGACAGACAACAGGGTTGGGGACCGATCCAAGAATACCCCCATCTGATGGCAAGCCTGTAGAACTAACATTAGTAACACAAACAGGTGAAGCATTAATATTTAAATGTGACATGGCAGAATTACAAAATACAGTACCCATAGAAGTCACACCCCCTGCATGTGGAGCATAGCCAGGAGTAACTGGCTGGCCACCCCCTCCGGGGTTGTAAACGGACTGCGCGTGAGGAATCCAGTACCCCTGCTGGCCGTTCATTGGAGGCGCTCCTCGACCTCTGCCCCGACCACCGCGGCCTCTCCCTCGACCGCGGCCGCGTCCGCGCTGCTGCTGGTTCGGAGCTCGCTGCTGCCCGACCGGGTTCGGCTGCTGCCCGACCGGATGCTGCTGCATGGGTGCTGCCTGCGCACCAGGTTGCTGACCAAGACCAGGGGTAACAACACCAAAAGCCTGATGAATGGATGAGGCCTCTTGAGAGCGAAGATAGATGACCCGCTGTTCTAACTCAAGTAGATGATTGCGAAGTGTTTCAAAGGGAAAGTTATGGGGAAACAATGAGACGGTGGTAAAGAGGGACTCATACTCGGGGCCAAGGCCCATAATTGTAGTTTTGAGAACTTCCCGAGGCGGCACAGGGCAGTTGATGGTGGCAAGATCATCTACTAGAATTTTAATTTCTCTGAGATATTGATCCATAGACTGATCAGGTTTCTTTTTCATGTGATTCAACAATCGCTTTAATTCCATAGAGCGAGCCAAACTAGCGGACATGAAACGAGACTCCAAACGTTCCCAAATTTCGCAGGAATGTTTCAAGTCACGAACATCGATAAGTACATCCCGAGAGAGGGTTGCAAATAACCATGATCGGATTGTTTGATCAATTCGGAGCCAAATTGAGAATTCAGGATTTGGAGTGGGACGATTAAGCACATCGATGGAAGAAGCAGAAGGTACCTGAATAGAGCCATCAACCATGCCGAGAAGGCCTTGTGAGACCAAAAAGGATTCGAACTGGGTACGCCAGGTAGTATAGTCCTCCACCGCCAAAAGTTTGGTAGTCACAATATTGGTGACATTAGTTGCCACATGAGAAATTGTTTGGGCTAGTTCAGTTAAGGGAGAAGTGATGTTGCCGCTGGCTGGTTGAAGAGGGGATATCGTGGAGGAGATGCCAGGTGAGCCAACGAAGGTGGTGCCCGCATATGTAGATGCCGAGAATGGTGGCGGCTCAAGCGAAACAGGTGGAACCGAGGTAGGGGCCGACCATGGGAATATCGGTGGGAGATTCTGAAACAAGGAGTATGGCATCGTAGCTCGGCTTGGTGACGCAAAATTAGGGGAGAAGGTCACGCCGGAAGAGACGGAGGTGATTGCCGGCCGCGTTCCGAAGGAGAATGGAGCGCCGGTTGATGCCATGCTGCCGGCTTCGACGGACGATGCGATGGGATGAGACATCGTGGTCGAGCAAGGCGCTGCGGAATCTGAGGATGCCGGAGTAGTCATCGTGGCCGAGAGATAGTGATGGACCGAGAATTGAAGGCGGCGGCTGTAGAGAGAAAGCCAGGCGGCGCAGAAAAAAAGCTAGGTTTTTATCTGTGCTCTTGATACCATGTGAGAATAATGGAACAGGATGATCTCCATAGAGCCCTGGCAGATATATTTATATTAGTAGGAATTTAATGTAAAGTACAAGAGTAGTCCTATTATAATTCTATTAGTATATTCATCTACTAAAGGGAGTGTTTGCAATTGCTTCTACTATACTTCAAAAAATGATTTTTTTTAATGATTTTTGAAAAAATGTTTAATAGTGAAAGCTGATAGTATTTGACAAAAGTTATTATACAAAAAATGTAGAAGTTAGAGTGTTTGATAAAAAGTGATTATTGATGTAGTTTTTTACTTTTATATTAATGTACAAAAATGCCCCTTTCATTAAAGTTTTAGGACTTGAGGAGAGAAGGGCATTAATGGGATACAACAACACATATTTTAAACACAAATGCCCCCAATTGGAGGTAATTACCAAACTACCAAGAAGTAGAAAAAAGCTGCTTCCAACTTTTCGGATAAACATAAAGAGAGAAGTTGTGTTTTGCAAACACCAATTTTGACTTTTGTTAATAAGCAAAAGTGCTTTATTTTGAGAAGTTGTGTTTTGCAAACACCAATTTTGACTTTTGTTAATAAGCAAAAGTGCTTTATTTTGAGAAGTTGTTGTAAACAGACCTTAAAAATGTGTCCTTCATTTTTTAGTGGTCTACGATTAAGCTTGTAAGCATTAATTAGTTGTATATCCTCAGAGTATCCTCATATTATTTGTAAGGTATTATAGATATAAAATCATTAATTTGTTGCTATAAATATTAAAAATAATAATAGCATTATCACACTATTATTATTGTTATCATTGTTTGTATGTATGTCATTATTGAAGATTGTTTCCGAGATAAACAATTGTGAATATGTTACTATTATTATCGTTATTCGCATATCGTTGTTACTAATATATACAACACCATATGTTAGGGTTATCACAAATGATAATATTATGATCGAGTACACTGTCTTATACTCTTATTATTATACTCCGTATTTATTATTATCATCAATGTATTTTTATGGTTACTAGTGTTTGTATGTTAATATTACAGCCATACATGCGCATATTATTGATATTTGTAATATAATACTCCCTCCGTCCCGAAAAGGTTCGCCAACTTTGACTTTCACGTAGATTAATAAAGTAGAGATTGTGTGGTTGAAATTTGTGCAGAGGGGAGAGAATTAACTTTAGACACATATTCCTTACTTTAAATGGAAATGTCAAATCTTTTTGGGACATCCAAAAAAGGAATTGGCAAACATTTTCGGGACGGAGGGAGTACTCCGTAATAATAGTAATACTACGTGATATAATGATATTAAAAATGCTTATCATAATGGTAATCCTAATTATAACGAACATAATGATCGAGAATGATAATACCTTGGTCCCATTTTATGTGTCTCACTTTGACTTGATACGATTATTAATAAAGTGGACATAATCTACATTCTATGGAGAACATGCTCACCAAATTTCATCATAAAAGTCAACCCGGAAGCGCCTCAAATGAAAGAGGCTTAAGAATTAGAACTTTTAGACCTTCCTTATATTAACATTAACCCTTGCACCTATAAGATTCACCCTTTATCACTCCAACATGTTCATTAAAATGTAACATATCCATTTTTCAAATACTTATGCAGTATCTCCTGAACATCATCATAGCTAAGGGCCCCATTCAAATTACAAGTCACTCCAAATTTGATAAAAACTACGAAGTATATTCTGTGTGAAAAATTCTTTTATGAACTTATCCTAATTTTTTTTGTCATAAGTAATACTCATTCCGTCCCATTTTACATGTCCCACACTCCTTTTTCAAAATAAGTGTCTCCTTTGCTCTCGTGGAAAGAAATATGTGACTTACACCATTTCACTTTATTATACTCAAAACTCAATCACAACTTTTACTTATTCAACCACTTTATTAATAATCGTATCAAGTCAAAGTGAGACACATAAAATGGGACGGAGTTCTCGATCATTATGTTCGTCTGATCTGGATATTTCTTATTTGAATTATAACTATCGTTATAATTAATTTGGATTACCATTATGATACATTTTCAATATCATTATATGACGTAGTATTACTATTATTATTATTATATTATATTACAAATACCAATAATATGCGCCTGTATGGCTGTATACTAATATTAACATACAAACACTAGTAACAATAAAAATACATTGATAACAATAATAATTATAATATGGAAAAATTGATAGTAATAATCCCAACTATTGGCGGTCCGCTCATAATAATCCCAATTATTGATTATTTCAGAATAATCCCAACTTTAGGGACGTTCCGCCAATAATGGTCCGGCGTGACTGGCTATATATAAATTCTTGTAGTTTCTAAAGTGGATGAGAAAAGATATAACAGGTAATCCCTATAAATAATCCCAACTTTTAATTTTTTCTCTTAATTTCTATTTAAAATTCACATGTTATAACAGGTAATATCCGATCATGGACCATTATTGGCGGAGGGTCCATATAGTTAGGATTATACAAAAATAATCAATAATTGGAATTATTGTTAGCGGACCAGCAATAGTTGGGATTAGGGAAAAGGGGTAAATAAGCCCACGTACTAACAAAAAAGGTCAAATAAGCCCTTATTTAGGAGGATCTGTCCGGCCATCGCCATTTGGGGCGGTTCCCGGAGGAATTTTTTGATGAAATTTTTTGAGCATCTTATTCAATGAGTCTAGTTTACTCATACCAAATTTTATCTAACAATCCAATTGGGAAGACATTCAAATGAATTCTTGAAGATAACTGCGTTTTTAACTGCACATTTATCTTCAAGAATTCATTTGAATGCCTTCCCAATTGAATTGTTAGATAAAATTTGATATGAGTAAACTAGACTCAATGAATAAGAATCTCAAAAAATTTCATCAAAAAATTCCACCAGGAACCGCCCCAAATGGCGATGGCCGGACAGAACCTCTTAAATAAGAGCTTATTTGACCATTTTTGGTTAGTACGTGAGCTTATTTGCCCCTTTTCCTGTTGAAATTATTATTTTCAATTTTTCTTATATATAAAGAGTCTAACTTACGGTGTCAACAGTTTTTAGTCCAGTTTTCCGTCTTGGGCTAAGAATACCGCCCTGGTTTCCGTTACACTTAACCGGACTCCTTTTATCTTTTCATCGCGTCACTGTTTCGGGTATGTTCACTTCGTCAGTGTTCTACCTCTGCCAGCACCTTCACTATTTCAGATCATTAAAAAAAAAGAATTTGTTGTGTGCTCACTGGATCGGGATTCTCTGCGTGGCTTTGGCAGTCAGGTAGGGTGCGTAGGTATTACAGCCACGCGATTCACTCTCCATCTTCCAACAGCTCTCTTCTTCTCTGTTGCTTGTCGTTGGATTGCCGCAAGGCACCTCTGCCGTGCGGTAGAGGATCCAAATCCGTGCTCACTAGGTAAGTTCCATATCTCCCTCCTCTCCTTTTAAGTTTTTTGGGGTAATTGAATGCCATTTTGCCAAGAAAAGATACATCTTTGCGCGTTCGGAATGTAAAGGAAAAAACTAACTAAAATGTTCTCTACAAAATTTAGGGAAAATTGGTGTAGTTCGCCTCTTTCTCCATCTCAAGGGGAAATTATTTCAAAATAGCCATATAAAAAAACCATCTCTGCGATTGAAGAAAACATTTTGGGGGTTTTCCGACTTTGTTTACTCGCCGGTTATCCTGGTAAGCCCCCCAACGGTTAATTTCCCCATAATTGTTATATATGGGTGTTTAGATAGTAGTCTTGGCTGGTAATTTCTTTTCCATGGGCTTAAGGGAAATTGGGCAGACATTAATCGCAATATTCCATACTATTGTTTAAGTTCATTGTCATCCCTATAATTTGTTTTAGATTTTTACAAGGTTAATTGGGTTGACCGTGTGATTATCAATTCTGAGAGTAAATGATAGAAAAGGGCATGTTTCTTGCGGGTGTTTCCAAAAGGTGTAGGTTTGACTGAATTATTGGTTGAAAAGGTTTAACATATTTGGCAAATATGTTCAGTATTTGCAAAAAGAAAAAAATATGTACCTGGACATATTTGCCAAATATGTCAGTCTTCCTATTGGTCAAGAGTATTAGGCGCGGATCGGCATCGAGGATCGTGAAGTGAAGGGCTTGGATCGGCTTTTACTGAAGCACATTTGGTGAATCAACACACATTAAATTAATATATGTCCAACATATTTGGCAAATATGTCAGTATTTCTATTGGTCAAAAGTATTAGGCGCAGATCGTCATCCTGGATCGCGAAGTGAAGGGCTTGGATCGGCTTTTACTGAAGCACATTTGGTGAATCCAGACGAATTAAATTGATATATGTCCAACATATTTGCCAAATATGTCAGTCTTCCCATTGGTCAAAATAAGTTGGCTTGGATTGCCAATTACTCCAACATATTTGGCAAATATGCTTTATAAAGTTCACCACAAATCTCACTTCACAGCACATCTAACTGTTCCAATTTCTCTTCTTCTCCAAATTTTGGCCATCTCCTTCATCTTAACCCAAGTAAGTTTTTCCTTAATCTTTTTTAAGTTTAATTTAGTTAATAATTTAATTATGTTAATTTGTAGAAGTAGGAATGAAATTAATACTTACAGTCATCTCCTTCTCCAAATTATATTCCCACATAATTTAACGTTAAGTTATATCTTCTCCAAATTACGTAACGTTAGGTTATGTTACTTTCAGCCATCTCTTTCTCCAAATTAATTAATAATTTAATTAAGTTTTTCCAATTTAATAGTTTAATTTAGTTAATAATTTAAGTTAGTAATTTAGGAATGAAATTACTCTATAATAGTGTAATTTGTAATTGTGAATTAGGAACCTAATATTAGTTTATTTACCAAATATGAAAGATTAATGTTAATTTACCAAATATGTATGTATAAATTTACTAATGTGCATGTTAACCTTTTTTCGATAATTTTTTCACCATTCATTTGTAGAAATCTTTCCTATTTCAGTGTAGAAATTAGTCTATAATTTGTGTTAATTAACGAAATATTAGTGTTTTAGTATTAGTCTATAGTTAACGAAATATGTTGTTGTTTAATTGGGTGTATTTATTTGTATTACAAATTGTATTATAAGTAGTGTTGTTTAATTAGATATATAATTTCTTTTATAAATAGTGTTGTTTAATTACATTTGTAAATAGGTACGGAGTATTACAAATTGTATTATAATAGCGTTGTTTCATTACAATATTACAAATATAAGTGTTTATTGAAAATTAATTTAATATATTATTAGGTTTTCATGGCTACACAAAGAGAACACCCCCACCATGGGCTCATAAAACGTTCCGTATTAGTGATGATACCTGGAGAACATCGTGCTGATAATGTGTGGAAAAGTGAAGCGTTGAGAGTCTTGAAACTGAGGTGCATTACTTACCCGAAATCTGCCAAGGACGATGACGAACGTCATCCTAGAGTCGCAGAACTGCTGAGGGCATCAGGCTTTCACGTAGCTGAACGATTAGTAAAAATCAAAATTGATTGGGGTCTTATCATCGCATTGGTTGAGAGGTGGAGACCAGAAACACATGCTTTCCATTTACCTTTTGGCGAGGTAGGCATTACCTTGCAAGATGTACAGGTGCTGATGGGGTTACTGATTGACGGTCTCCCACTTACTGAGCCCTCATCCACAGTTGGTAGTTCCTATCACACGCATGAAGTTCCCGAACATCAATAGTGGCCTAATTTTAGTTGGGTTGAGATATTTGGCAATGATCACCTCAGTGGAGCGACCGGCGGTGCAGGGCCGAGCTCACAATATTAGTTTATAATATTTATATTACCGTAATAGTATTAACATTAATGTAATAATATCTTTGTGTGATGTAGTATTATAAGTTTAATAATATGAATGTTATTGCCATAATATTCAGCGTACAATGATCTCCCAAAACTTCTACAAGGTATGACATTTAGTACAATGAGAGGCAGCGTACAATGATCTCCCAAAACTTCTACAAGGTATGACATTTAGTAATCCGGGCACCATTGTCGACCTAAGAACAGACCAAACCGATACACAAGGTACACATGAATTTAAGTACGCATTTTGGTCAATCAAAGCAGCGATTGACGGTTTCAATCACTGTCTCCCGTTCATTTCCATTGATGGTACACATTTGTACAGTAAATACAAAGGCACTTTGTTGGTCGCGATGACAATGAATGCTAACCGTGAAATCTTTCCTCTAGCTTTTGGGGTGGTTGATAGTGAAAACGGGGATAGTTGGGCGTGGTTTTTACAGTTAGTTACGACAAATATTATTCGTTCCTATCGGAATGTTTGCATAATATCTGACTGACATGTCGCTATTGATTGTGCGTTCCGGAATGAACCGCAATTGGGAACACCTCTAATTCAGATGCGATATTGTCTTCGACACATTCGAAGTAATTTTATGTCCCAGTTTCGAAGCAAGAATCTAAAAAGATTGTGTTGGCGTGCCGGAAGTACCCCCATTCTAAATGAAATCACTAACTACATGCAACAAATTCGGGGTGCTAATGAAAGAGCATTCAACTATCTTGATGTCATTCCTAAAGAGAAGTGGACACTTTGTTTTGATGGTGGATGTCGTTATGGAATTTTAACGACCACTCTATCTGAAAGTTTTAACCATGCCCTAAAAGGATATAGAACGCTTCCAATTACAGCACTTGTGAGAGCAACTTTCGATAAATCTGTTCAGCTCTTTGTAGAATGACGTAATGCTGGTATGATGTGGAATCAAAGTGGATATCAATTTCTGGAAAACATTCGGAAGCAGATTATGGATCGATGGCAACAAAGGCGTCACACTGTTGTAATCCCGCACAATTATCATAGTGGAGTTTTCCCAGTAGCCATAGAAAATGCAACTTCGGTTTCGGTAGACTTTTTAAGGAGCGACTGTGACTGCGGCTGGTGGAGGATGAACTGGATGCCATGCAGCCACATGCATGCTGTGTGTCACTTCCTCAATCACCCTGTCGATCAACTTATTCCAGAGGTATATAAACTGAGCTCTTACATTAATGCACATGCGGGTGATATTATGCCTTTACCAAATATGAATGAGTGGCCAGATAATGGGATCCATCTTTTACCGCCAAAATATTTATCACGAACTTCTTGAGTGGGGCGTCGTCAAGAAACAAGGTTTCAAAATGAGATGGATATGCGTCCAAGCAGAAGAAGAGGACAACAATTATTTCATGTATTTTTTATATTTTAGCGTTTTTAGTAATTTATTATGAAAGAATTGTACTTTTTAAGTTTTTAATAACAAGTTGTTTCTTATCATTTCAATAAATATTTCAATTCAGAATATTTAAATTTGGCTAAAGGGTCAAATAGGTACATGAACTAACTTAAAGTGTTCAATTAGCCCCTTATATAGGAGGTTCTGCCCGGCCGTCGCCAATTGGGGCGGTTCCCGGTGGAATTTTTTGATGAAATTTTTTGAGCATCTTCTTCATTAAGTCTAGTTTATCCATACCAAATTTCAGCTAAAAACTCAACCGCGAAGGCAGTCAAATGATTTTTTGAAGATAACTGCGCAGTTAAACAACACAGAACATTTTGGAAAATCATTTGACTGCCTTCCCGATTTAATTTTTAGCTGAAATTTGATATGGGTAAACTAGACTTAATGAAGAAGATGCTCAAAAAATTTCATCAAAAAATTCAACCGGGAACCGTTCCAATTGGTGACGGCCGGGCAGAACCTCCTATATAAGGGGCTAATTGAACACTTTAAGTTAGTTCATGTACCTATTTGACGCTTTAGCCTTTAAATTTTCATTTCGGTAGATAGCACTGTATAATTGTTTTTGAAATGTTTGATGAGATAAATAAAGCATTGTAGTGTTTAAGAATGTAAATACAAGAACATATTAACCGAATCTGTTCAAACCTTTTTTTAATAGAAAATTGTTCAACATATTCACCAAATACGTTGCTTGATTTCTTCTTTTTTATCGAAAATTGTTGAACATATTCGCCAAATACGTTCTCTTATTACTTTTTCTAAAGAGAAATTATTGAACATATTCACTAAACATGTTCAACCTTTGGAATGGTCTGCAGACAGGAATCTACACCATTTGGAATTGTCAGCAAAGATTCTGCACTGTTTTGTCAATAACCCCAATTGTGAAGCCAAAAACAAAATATGGTGCTTTTATTTGGGGTGAGCGTTAGGTATATTTGTTTTTTTTTTTCATAAAAAAGCTTATTTTGTGGTGTATAACTTATAAGATATGATTGACAAACAAGATATATAGATTGCTTTTGTGGAAAAGTCTAATTTTTGTGGGGGTATAACCTTATGAGATATGATTAACAAAAAAAAAAGAGATTACTTTTGTGGAAAAAATGATTTTAGTGGGGGCATAATCTTATACGATATGATTAACAAAAAAAGATAAATAGATTACTTTTGTGGAAAAACTGATTTTAGTGGGGGATATAACCTTATACGATATGATTAACAAAAAAGATATATGAATTATTTTTTAAGAACCGTTTATATTTGTGACATAGACTCATAGAGTGTTGTTTTGTTTTCTATTTTGTTGAAACATCACCTTGAGGTCATGTGGTTTGATGAACTATTGTCCTTTCATTGTGCGGGAAAATCACTTGAAAGGTTGTTGATCATTACAGACCTTGTATGTTCTCATTTGAATTTCAATTAGTAGAAATAAAGGCTATCCCTAATTTGTAAATCATAGTTTATATTAGAGTGTAACTCATGTTTTGATGTCATATGTTCTTCTATGACTTTAGGTACTTGATTCCCGTTTCTTTGTTCAAAACAGCGAAGTTCAGAATCCCTTTTGATCTGGTAACTTTCCTTTTCAAAACTCATTTCATTTTAGCTTACATTTCTTTACAAAAAGTTCGTAGTGAACATCGGCTATTTTTATCACCTGTGATAACACTACTCTCTCTGTCAGTTTTGAACCATGACATGTTGAAATCTTTATTTTTCATTGTAGGTACATCATCAAAGGAACAATGAAAGAGGACCTATTAATACCTCAAAAAGTTTTTGGGGGGCAAGAACTAAAATGGCTCTACTTTCTTATTTGATTATGACTATTAGAAATTATGGTGAAACCTCTATGATTTGCATATAATTCTTTTTAATTTGAACGGAATCTTCTTCCTCCAGAATTGTAATGTTTTTGTCTGTTCTTTCCTATACTGTGTTCCTCCCTACCTCTTTTGTTCATGATGTGCATCTACAATGCTTTTTAGTTTCTTCTTCAATGCATTTTAATAGGGTAAAAATATGTTTAGTAGCATAAATCCTTCACCCTTCTAAATTCATTACGGTGTTTCTTTTTCTTACTTTAATCCCAAAAAATATTCTTATGCAAACGTTTTTCCATATGTTAAGATACTTATGTTGGGCATCAACCCTCGCGCATAAGAGAGCTAGTTTTCTAATATATCACATGTCTAATTTTGAAAAATTAGTATTAATCAGGATGTAGATGGAAGGAAATGTAGAAAACTGGTACATGTACAAGGTTGTTGGAAGGGAAACTATGGGCTGGGATGCATTTGTAGCCTTATTCATGAAAGAGTTTTCAAAAGAAAGTGAGATTATTGGACAATTTAACAAAGTAATGCAAAAAGGGTAGGTGGATGAATATATAAATAAATTTGCTGAGTTAAAATCATTTATGCTACAAGGGAACAAATATCTGGATGAATAATACTTTCTTAAGAGTATTATGAGTGGACTAAAGAAAGAAATTAGGCACATGGTTGAAATTGTGTCACCTGAGACTTTAGACCAAACTTTTCCGATTGCTAAGATTCCTAAGAAGCAAGAAGCCATGTTAAAAGCAGTAGGGAGAACGGGGAAGGAAAATCAGAAAATTAATTGGGTAAAGGGAGAAAATGAGAGCAATAGAGTGAATTTGGTTGAGAAATTTCTTTTGGTGAAACAATTGAGCATAGAAGAAATGGATGCAAGAAGAAGAAAATGGTTATGATTCAACTGTGATGAAGCATACACCACAAGAAACCAATGTAAAAAGATTTTTTTGATACAATTTTTTGATGAGAAAGAAAATTTTCGTGATTCAAATGTGCAAGAAGAAAGTGAGGAGAAAATTTTTGGAGTCTCTTTGGATTCACTCAAAGGACAAATACCTATTGATTCCATTAAATTGGAAGAACAGTCACTTTACTATATGAGGGGATTCAGGAAGTACAGACACTTTCATTCATCGAGGGGCTGCAAGGGAAACCAATTTTGTTATTGAATTGAAATTGCCTATCTTCTCGAAGTTACATACAATAGCAGGAGGAGGGAATATAGAATGTTTATCTAAACGTCCTAACTTGAAGTGGGAAATGATTGGACACTATTTTTCTGCTACTTTGAATGTATTACCCTTGAGAGGATATGACATGGTGATGGGAGTAAAACTGATGAGAAAGTTGGGACCAATCATGCTTGATTATGACAACCACTCTGTTACCTTAGCTTTGATCACAGAAGAGAAAAATGGTAGTACCAGCTATGGAACAAAAAGTATGGAGTGGTATCCAAATACTGAAACTGCAAAAGAAAATAAGAAACAAAAATAGAAGAACAACTTATTGAGTTTCAAGTGGTCTTTTAGGAACCCAATTAAGGAGCTGCCTCCTTTGAGAAACCGTGAACATCAAATTGACATAAAATCAGAAGAAAAATATTTAAAAAAAACTTCACACACACACACACACACACACACATATATATATATATATATATGAAAAAGATCATGTCCATCCGGATGGACAGGAAGCTCCGTCCGGCCGAGGCCATCAGAGGCTCTTTCTGGTGGAATTTGTTGATGAATTTTTTTGAGCATGTTCGTCATGAAGTCTAGTTTAGCCATACCAAGTTTCAGCTAAAAGTTCAACCGGGAAGTCACTTAAATGATTTTTGGAAGATGACTGCGTTTTATATGTATATAAAGTGAGCAGTTAACTTACAAAAATCATTTGACTGCCTTCCGGATTGAATTTTTAGCTGAAATTTGGTATGAATAAACTATACTTCATGAAGAACATGCTCAAAAAAATTCAGCAAAAAAATCTACCGGGAAGGACCCCAAATGGCGACGGCCGGACGGCGGGTCTTGTCCCTCCGGCTGGGCATGATCATTACTCTCTCTCTCTCTCTCTCTCTCTATATATATATATATATATATATATATATATATACATATATATATATCCTTATTTGCAAAGACAAGAGATAGAGAGGCTTGTAAAGGAAACGCTCAATTCCAGAGTCATTCAATACCGCCACAACCGTTATTCAAGTCATGTACAACTAGTAAAAAAGAAAGATGTACTTCGAGATTGTGTGTTGACTACAGGAAACTCCATTTAGTAACCTAAAAAATAACTATCAGTTTCCTTTGATAGATGATTTATTGGATGAATTACATGAAGCAACAATCTATTCCAAGATAGATTTAAGGAAAGGATACTATCAAGTCAGGATGAAACAAAGAGACATTGAGAAAACTGCTTTTATAACAATTATTGGACTATATGAATTTACGGTTATGCCATTTGGGCTAACAAATGCTTCATCCACGTTTCAAGCTCTCATGAACAATGTGTTCAGAGAATGTTTGAAGCAATTCAAATTAGTCTTCTATATATGATGATATACTGGACTACACTCCAGATAATGAGGCTCATAGGAGGCATTTGAGGAAAGTCTTCCTATTACTACAACAACATACATTATTTCCTAAAAGATCTAAATGCACATTTGGAGTTTCAAAAGTGGAATACTTCGGACATATTATTAATTCCACCGAAGTTGTTGTAGATCCTGAAAAGATTAAGAGCAATTTCGAAGTCATGTCTCCAATACGGAATCAAAGTTAATCCCTTGACTGATTTAACTAAGAAAGGGATGTTCAAATGGGATGAAAAAGCTCAACGTGCATTTGAGCCACTAAAAACAGCCATGTATACTGTACCTATCCCACAATTGCCTAATTTCGGTAAAACTTTTATAGTAGAGATTGATGCATGCTATGAAATATTGGGAGCTATGTTGATACAAGAAGGACATCCTATAGCTTATGTAAGCAAAGCCTTGGCCCCCATGTATTTAGGGCTCGAGAAAGACTTCTTAGCTATATTGTTAGCTATTGAGAAATGGAGAGCATACCTGCTACATGCTCCTTTTATAATAAGAACGGATCAGATCAGTCTCAAATACTTGGTTGATCAAAGAGTCTCCACTCCTATTTAATACAAGTATTTAACCAAACTATTGGGGCATGATCATAGTTACATAAATCGCTGGGAAGGTCACGATCTGCGAACCGAACGCTCCGTACCGAATCGCGGTACGAAAGCGATCCGGTCGCCACCTGGAACGCTAAACAGAACGTACTTCAACTCAATCCCAATCGCTTTTAGAAACGATCTTATTCGTTGTTCGCATCGATTTCAAATGCTTTCAAACTCGATCGAAAATGAATCTCAGGTCATTCCTCAACTGTTTCCCTAGCAAACCCGTTTGTGAAGGTCGTTTCCCAAATTGAATCGTCGTTTGAAGACGAACGCGCAGATTTGAAATACGGTATTATTTGTACAGGTCGGCTGCTCTGCGCTTCGTTTTGTGGAATATTAATTAATGTTTTCAAACCAGGCTCTTCGTTTCTACTAACAGGCGCTACTAATTTGTTCTAATAGGTTTACGGAATATCAAACCAGGCTCTTCGTTTCTACTAACTGGCGCTACTAATTTGTTCTAATAGGCATACGGAATATCAAACCAGGCTCTTCGTTTCTAGAATATTAATTTGGAATATTATTGTTTTTTAATTTTGTTTAATGTTATGACTTATGCTTATTAAATCTGTTTTTGTCTAATCTATGATTTATAAAATCTGTAATTCAGTTTTATTAAAGTACCAAAATATAAGGTACACTGTACCGAACATGTGGTACACCGTACCGAACGCGTACCGGAATGAGCCTACCCCCCTCCGAACCGAATACGCTAGACCTAGCGAACCGCGTTCCCGATCCTCGTTCCCGTACCGAATTGTTCCACGAACTATGTGACTGGGCATGATTACAAGATAGAATACAGTAAAGGGCATGTAAATAAAGTAACAGATGCTTTATCCAGAAGACATCAATAGGATCCTAAAATGATAGGAGAATCTTGCTCTTTATCATTATTTCGACCTATGATTCCATACTAGTGGTGGCAAACAAGTACACTAAGTATGCTTATTTTGTACCATTGAGTCATCCATTTATAACTCCAGTCATAGCTCTAACATTCCTAAGTCATGCTTGCAAGTTTCATGGCTTACCTGAATCTACTATATCGGATAGACATAAAATATTTACCAGCCTATTCTCGAAAAAGTTGTTTAAATCTTTGGGTGTTCAACACCATCTAAGCATTGCATATCATCCCCAAACTGATGGGAAAGCAGAAAGGGTAAATCAATGCGTACAAAGCTATTTTGAGATGTATGAGTGGACATATTCTTAAACAATGGGGTAAATATGGCTGCCTTTAACAGCTCAATGGTGGTATAATAGTTGCTATCACAGTGAAACTGGAATGAGTCCCTTTGAAGTTTTGTTTGTGATAGGGACCCAGGCATTACAAAGAATAAGAGATTATTAAGTATTTTAATGCTGTTCAATAATAGGGTTTTAGGCCCTCTAATTTAATAGAAGTGGGCTGGCCCATTAGAAATAGAATAAATAAGGGAGAGGGGGTGAGGAGTTAGGCAGGCAGAATTTGGATCGGGATTTAGGACTGGGAGTGTTGAGACGACTCGAACAGTCTCTAGTTTATCTTTCTCTTTTCGGTTTATCAATTCTACGTCAATTTTCATCTCTTCCACTCTGGTTCCTAACATTGGTATCAGAGCAGTCCGCTCTGGGAAGCTTCGATCTAAGTCACGCGGTAAAAAATGGAGCAGCGCAGGGATTATCAAAGGTCAAAACGGAAAGTGGTCACCTCTGGTTTGTACGTGACAATTGAGAAGCGTGTGTCTACGCAAAAGGGAAAGGAACCCCATCGAAAAACCGATCAAAATGCCTCGCGCGGAAAAGTGGGGAAGGGTGCAAACCTGGAGAATGGCAAACGTCGACGGCGAGGACGATCGCGAACAGTGCGACGCTGCGAGAATTCGAAACGCAGAGGTTATTCGTCATCGCAGACTCTGGAGCAACCTGTTTCTCCTAGTTCGCAGGTTTCATCTCTCACCAGTTCGCAGTCGCCAGAAGTTTCTTACAGTTCGCCATCTACGCTCCAAACAGTATCTTCCTGTTCTCAATCTCCATCGCAAGCGGATTCCTACACTTTGCAAGCTTCAACGTCCCCTCAGGAGTCCGATAATCAGCGACAACCTGTCCCTGGAGGTGTTTTTTCTTCGCGCCCCAGAGAAAAGGTAGAAGAGGAGAGAGTCCAGTTGGGTCCTAACAGTGCTGAGGATGTTCAGAGGGTTGTTAATCTAGAGCGAAATTCCGTTAGAGAAGATGATAAATCTTCTCTGGAGACCAAGCGGATGTCAGTGGGTGTTATAGGTGGCCCTTGTGAAAATGGCGTTACTGGCAATCATAGGTCAATGGGGGAAGTGTCAAAGGGAGTTGAAGTTTTTTTTAGCTCAGGATTCCCTGAAGAGCAGAATCAGTATCTCATTCCTGGTTTCTTCACAGATGCATTAACCGTTGGTGAAAATGTTCTGGGAATACCAACAGCTTGTGTACTGACAGATGGGGGCATAGGGTTTGGTGGTTTGCTCCATATTGCAATTGCTGATAAATGGATTGAAATTCTCAAGGAAAGAGATAAGGACGGGAAAATGGAAGACGGTGTTAACACACTTACTACAAGAAGGTGGATGAAGAAGTGTGCTACTTATGTTGATAGTAATGACCACGCTCTAGGCGGTGAAGGTGTGGTATTGTTCTGGGGTGCCTTAGCAAAGAAATTGGTGGAGGATGATCCACAAACTAATGCAATGGAAGGATCAGACCCTAGGCATGGGCATCCGTGTGTGACCACTAGTACAATGATATGCAGGGGAGAAACCATCCGTTCGCAGGTACCACCAAAAGAACGGGAGATATCCTGGGAAAGAAGCCACATACGCCCAGGAAGGGAGATTTACCTGTTCATATCAAATTGTGCTTATCACTCCTTCACGAACTCTGTAGGTGCACTTGCTGGGGATTGCAGAGGGTGCTGGGATGAAAGCTATACTAATATAAAGGTTTCTACCAACGAGGTTATACCACTATCAATTGTTCAGAAACGGTACGGGATTCACATGGTTTCTAGTCAAAAAGTAGATGCTGAACTTGTAGTAAAAGACGGTTCTCTTGTGAATTGTGAAATAAAAAGTGGATCACAGCACCTAGGTGTGGAATCTCCGGAAATGCGATATGTTGTCATTTTGGATCTGCCAAGGGAACCTGCATGCATACTACCAGCTGAAGATAGAGTCCTTAGACAAGGGAAAGAGAATGCCTTCAAAATATCCATCTTTTGTGCAAAGGATACCTCAGACGAAGTTAGTTGGCAAAACCTAAATAAAAGTCTGCATCGAGTTTCATCGGGAGTGAATGGAAAGTATGAGGCAGTTCAGGAAATAGAGGTTGATATTGTTTATCACCTTGAAAGAACTGTTGGAAGTGAAGAGAAGCTATATAGGAGAAAAAATGGTGATAGTCTTTCGCATGCAACAGAAAATAAAGAATTAAATAAGAGGATGACTAAGGGTAATCAAGAACAGAATGAGAGTTATGCATATCCATCATTTTCTCCTGCAAACAACCTTGAACAAGCTACTACCGACACCAATCATTGTGACTGTCTGATGGTTGAAGCTCTCAATCCAAATGGGAAGGTTTTCCCACTTCATGTAATCAAGCTGAAGTATTGGGAAGGAAGAGGCGCGAGAATGAAGCTGAACAGCATGGCTATATTCTTACTCCCACCTTGAGGACAAGGTGGTTGTCAAAGGGGGAGTGATGATAGGGACCCAGGCATTACAAAGAATAAGAGATTATTAAGTATTTTAATGCTGTTCAATAATAGGGTTTTAGGCCCTCTAATTTAATAGAAGTGGGCTGGCCCATTAGAAATAGAATAAATAAGGGAGAGGGGGTGAGGAGTTAGGCAGGCAGAATTTGGATCGGGATTTAGGACTGGGAGTGTTGAGACGACTCGAACAGTCTCTAGTTTATCTTTCTCTTTTCGGTTTATCAATTCTACGTCAATTTTCATCTCTTCCACTCTGGTTCCTAACAGTTTGACTATAAACCACCTTTATTAAATATGGGACCTTAAGCAGAAATATGAGTAGTAGGGGTGGAGAATGAACGGGAAAGAAGGGAATTAGTTTCTGAAAAGCTTAGATATCAACTCAACCCGTCCAAGCAAAAACTGAAATAGATGGTTGACAAGGGAAGAAGTGAACCATGGTACTGGGTTTATCTTAACCTCAAACCCTATAGGCAAATGAACATGCAGAAGTCAGCAATGTGGAAATTAAATCTCAAATATTGTGGGCCTTTTCCAATCACATAAAAAGTTGGAGCAGTTGCTTATAAACCGGACTTACCAACATGGAGTAAAATACATCCAGTATTTCATGTTTCTTTACTAAAGAAACACGTGGGATCGAAGGAGAGGCTTTCAAGCTCTATACCTGGCATGATTGAGGATGAGAATGCAATGCTAGTACTTGTTGGAATTTTAGCTAGAGGGATATATTTTAGAAAAAATAATGCAGATATGGCTGAAGTCCTTATCAAATGGCAACATTTGCAACAATGTGTGGTTATCAGATATGGGAGGATTATAATGTGGTTATAAAACAATTTCCTCATCTAGAAGCATGCAGACAAGCTTCAAAAGAAGGAGAGAACAATTTTAAGACCAGAGTTTCCTTATCTAAAACCATAGCGATGGGAAAAGGCCTAGCTACGCAAATATTAAAGAATTGGAAGCTGCCAGCTGGAAGTTGGGCAGCAGGCTGAGCAACAGGCTTATGGTAGTTGGGCAGAGGGCAACTGGTAGACGTTAGTTAGCTAGTCTATTAGCTAACTAATTGGGAAGCCTTGGGCTCCTAGAAATAGTTTATAGATAACTTATTGTTATGTCTCTTCTCCTCTTGAAATGTTACGTTCAGTTTCTCTCAATTATCTAATTTCTCTCCTCCCAGATTTCTTTCATTTCTTCATCAAAACTTGGTGTTATGCATGCTTAAGTTTTTCACCTCGCTAATCACAACAAATGCTTAGGAGTTGGGAATTTTAGGCTTTCCGGCTTGGTGTACGTACATAAGTTCAAAGTTGAAAGCTCTGACTTGTTTGAGTTGTTTCTTTATTATTCTTTGTTGGGCTCTCCAATTTTTTTTTTTTTGAAAATAAAAGAGCGGTTTTTATATTAACATCAAGAAAGCATACATGACAACCTTCAGACAGTTACAATATATCCAATTATAAGTCCTAGTTACATATAGAATCAGTCATCTCATATAATTAAAGCAACCCGACTCGCTAGACATGAAACACACAATTTTATGCTTAAAACGAACAGAATCGAAACAATGTCTATCAAAAGTACTTCAAAAATCCAAATATCCAATTCAAACCTACTTGAACTAAAATAAAAACAAATACTACTAAGAAAAAAATAATGTTGGAATAAAGTCTTTCCACAGAACTCTTCATGGCACGAACGTGGTTTCAGAGGAGGACGAGCTTCAGCAATATGAGTGAACCTAAATTCTTCTTCTACTTCGTTGTGAAAGGACATAGAAATAGGCGGAGACAAAAACACTCTTTATGTCTCTTTCATTCTCTCCGCATCTCAAAAGAAGATAGATAAAGCCCCCAACCAGACGATGCTGCCCGAGACACCAATGGAACTCCCCACATCGTGGGAGACAAAACGCAACATAGCACCAAGGCTCAAGAAAGAACCGTCATAGAATAATACAAACACAACAACAAAAGAAGAGTAGTCAAGTTGGCGCATACTCCTACCCAAAATCTCTGAGAATGATGTCACCTTTAGCTTAGCCGGAGAGAGGACGACGACAAGACAACCCTCCTCTTCCCAATTGCCCGTTCTTCCTGGTTGACTACCAGCATATAGCCCAACTTAACATTATTCTATCAATTTTTTAAAATTGTTATAAATTTTTTAGATTAGAAATTCACCAAGTCCAATTTTGCCCACCCCTCCATTTCCTTCCCTTCTGTCATGTGACATTATTCTATCAATTTTTTAAAATTGTTATAAATTTTTTACTTAATATCCAATTTTATAAAAATATATTTAGATTTAATATTTTTTACGATATTTCCAATGATATCAGTATTGTATATAAAAAACTGAAAAAAACTATCTTTCTAAATATCTATTTTCAGCTGTGTTTTTTTTTTAATTTTTTTCATATGCAACATTGATACCATATAAAAGATTAAAAAAAAAAATTATATACGGTATTTTTTAAAAATGGATTAAAAATGAAATGTCAAAACAACTGCAGAAGAATAAAGGATTTATTTGCCCCATAAGAGCATCTCCAATGGTTGCTTTTAGGGACTTGCTTGCAATTTTGAAGCTATTAGCCCACCATTGGAGTGCATCCTTGTTTCTAGCTTGGACAAGCAAATTAGCCAAAACAAGCTAATTGCTAGAAAGGAGAGAAACTTGGATTAAAATGGTAAGTATCAAATATATTTAATTTATTTGTAATTGATATATTATATTAATTAATTATGCAACGGTAAAGTGAGTAAGGATGTTTTCTTTTGGACTGAAATTTGCTGGTCTGGTCAGATCTGGTCTGTTTAAGTCTGGTTTGGTCTGGTCTGGTCTGAACTGGTCTGGTCTGGTCTGGTAAACGTTTGGTCCCTGTGTATTTATAACTACGAAGTCTGGTCTGTTTAAGTCCGGTCTGGTCTGTTAAAGTCTGGTCTGGGACTGAAAACAGTCCAAAAGAAAACATCCTAATACAACGATCAAGTTCCAAATTAAAAGTGATTTCAATCTCTTCCTCTTAATTATATATACCGAATGGTTTTAAAAGTTAGTGTACTCTTCAAATGGAGGACTATGAAAACCTATAGAACAAGTATTACTCCATTCTGAAAAACTCTTCAAGCACCGAAAATCCAAACTCTCAAAATTTCACCTCACATATATCAACCCCAATAATTCCTACAGTCCAGCCAATTTTCCAAAATTTTCATCCAAGAAGAGATGTCAATCAATATCATCGACATCGTTGTGATACAAAATTTTCATTTCCACCAAATAAAGGAATGCATGATCATCGTGGATATTATAATTCGCATATCCTTATTTTTTTTACTTAACAAATACATTTTATTTTTCTGATTTTAATAATGTGCATTTTCATCCGTGTTGGGCGTTGGATTAGTGTTTGGTCAAAGTCATAGTTGATTAATATTTTTTATTATATTAATAAATCAATTCACTCAAAATGTGTATTTTTAAAATTGATTAATTTGTGGGGTCTATTCAAGACACAAGCATTGTGGCTAACCATTAGACTATCACATTGCTTGAAAATGGATTAGCTAGAAAAAATGATGTGGCAAGCAAAGGTACAACATATTTAGCTAACCATTGGAGATACTCTAATAGGCCACTAGGATTTTAATCGATCCCCACCATAGTGGATCCATGTAATTAATTAAGTGGTGTCTTACTTTAGGAAACAATTCAAGTCGCAGAACGGACAAATCAAATTTTGGAAATAAATCTTCGCCTGGATTCCTACAGGAGACTTCAACCGACTCATACAAGTCACACCGACCGTAATCTATATATATATACATACCTCACCACAAATGCATGTGTAGGTGTTCTTCCCATTCATTTGTTTTCTCTGCTAATTTACCATCAAGTATCTCTTCTAGCTACAACAGATAAAACAATATGGGATCATCGGAAATAGGAAACGAGGCAGAGCTGGGGACCATGTCTCCGGCGCCGCCGTCTCTTTGTCGGAACGGCTGCGGTTTCTTTGGAACGGCGGCAACCGATGGGCTGTGCTCCAAGTGCTACAAGGACATGTGCAAGAAGGTGGTGGAAGAGCAAGCTCTGATAACGCCCATGACCAATCTCAGGATCAGAACCGGCCGTCCGGTTCGGGATGGGTCGACCGGCAGGGAGGCGTCGCCGCCGCCGGCCCCGCGCGCGTCCGGCCGGTGTTGGAGCTGCAACAGGAAGGTGGGGCTGCTGGGGTTCAACTGCAGGTGTGGCTACACCTACTGTGGGTCCCACAGGTACCCTGAGATGCATGACTGTGCCTTTGACTTCAAGGGTCAAGCCCGGGATGACTTGGCCAAAGCCAACCCTGTAATCAAGCCCCATAAAATCCAGAGATTCTAAAGTTTTAATTTCTCCATTTAATTGATTTATTCGTTGTTTCAACAAGTGTGTGATATTAATTACTCCCTATCAGGGAGATCAAACAGTGATAAATCTTGTGGGTTTAATTTGGTGTTGCATTTATCAAATACTACGTACTCCTTTGCGATTTATTTGTATTTGGATATTTTAATTATATGATCGTTTTCTTTAGTGTAATTATTATTGTTGACATTAAATTGTTGCTTGCGATAATTTGGAAGCTTCAATTAGTATTGCATACTTGAGTTACCCCAGAGAGATGCTCCCCATGTAGGGTTTGATACCGCCACCCATTGCTACGGTGCAAGTCCATTTTTGAATTGGCTTTTTTGTTTTGCTTCGTTGAGTTTAGGGTGGTTTAGGCATACAAGATTTCTTTATTCCCTTCTCCCATCATCAATTATGCGGCTATTCTTCTTCTTTTGTTTTGGTGAGATTAAGCGGTGGGAAGATGCTTTGTCTCCGACTAGGGCTGTTAACGAGCCGAAGCGAGCCCGAACACCCAAAGCTCGAGTTCGGCTCGATAAGGAATTAATGGTGTTCGGGTTCGAGCTCGAAGCTCGGCGAGCTTTACAAGTGAGTCTCGTGTTCGGCTCGATAGGCGTTCGATGTTCGAACCGAACGCTCGATAGGCTCGATAAATATGCTCGAATTTAAAATTGTAGGTGATGTTCGTTAATAGACTCGTGCTCGAATGATTCGACAAGTATTCGGTTCGTTAATAATCATATTTAAATTCATAAAATCATACTAATTATATTTAAATTTTGACATATACGGAGTATATAAATGATATTTATAATTTCAGGGTGTTCGATAGGCTCGAGTTCGAACCGAGTCGAATACTACTATGTTCGAGCTCGGCTCGATTAATTTTTCAAACTTAAAACTATGCTCGGGTTCGCGTTTGATAGCTCGTTAAGCTCAGCTCCTTAGATTCGAAACCGAGCTCGAACTCGAATAGTTCGATAAAAGCTCGGATCGTTAACAACGACCCTATCTCCGACGACCAAAGGTTGTGCAGGGATGAAAGACTGATGCTTGGTTTCCGACGGTCAAAGGTCGGGGACGAAGCATGGGGCATGAGGCTGGAACAGACCTGGATTTGAGGTCATACGTGATTGGTTGACAGAGGAGGCTTGATAGAGAACATGATGAACAAGAGGCAAGGCGAGGAAGCAGCTACAATGTTGTTGGATCGTCCCCCTCCTGAACCACCGCCATGGAGTGCAGGAGAATATAGGGTTTGGAAGCAACATTTTAATTTTACTATTGGCTTGCTTTCAATTTTTATTTTTTATGTTGGTTACTTTTATTGTTGTAAGACTCTTGCATTAGGATTGGGTGATAGAAGACATGCTTTAACCGTCGTTGGCTCATTTGCCCATTATAAGATTAGTGAGTCATATTGCTTTTTTAAGGTGATTGACTCTAAGTCTGGTTCGAGAGCTTGTGGTTGCCTGTGGTCCGTTTGTCGTTTTATCCTCTATCTGAATGCTCTAAATGTTGTGATATCAATTTATGCCATCCGTTTTGACGATTAAAAAAAATGTTGCTTGTGATGTAAAGATAAAAAAGTTTTAAGGAAACACTACTTCGTAGTTTGTAACACGATAACTAGTTATTCGTCTATTCTAAATGAAGCACGGAGTAAACTATATACTTCGTATAACACTTGTGATTATAAGTAATGTGTATGTATTGATGCAAAAGCTAGAGTCAAAAAAATTAAGTCATGTAATTGTAGTTATTAAAAGTTATT